TTTGGGATTTTGAGATTGTTCTTTATCTCCAGTCAACCCTAAGCCAATGCTTGGGCCAGTGAAATGAGGAAAAGGGTGTCAGTCATGTCTAATTCTCCTCTCTCCTTTTCTCACCAGGGAAAGCAGGGCAACTCTTAACCTCGTGAGCATGGCTGAATGCTAAGTCTGTGCTGGACTCCAGCCCAGGAAGACAAACTCCTTTCCATCTGACTTCCCATGGGCTGACCTTCCCTAGTAACATCCCTTCAGTCTGCCTTGTTTCCTTAGCTCCTGAAACACTTGTTCAATAAACTGACTTGGCAACATTCCTCTGTCTCAGTGCCACATCTCTGCCCTGTCATGGTACTTCGAGTGGTGGATCTCTATTTTTCTATTGATGTTCTCCACTACCAACTAACGTGGATCAAATTTTCTGGCCATGTGCCAGTGCCATCCCTGCTCTGATGAGGGCCCCTTGGAGCTCTCCATCCTTTCCTTACTCCTCAGTCTTCTTGTCAGTGTTAATCTTATCAAACCATGATATCTCTGTATGACCTGACCACAGAGTCCCTCTTTGCAGTCAGTGCAAGGAGACATTTACCTCCAGAGCATGTCCCACCTCCTCTGTGGGGAAATGCCAAGGATGTAGGTGGTGATTTGCTCTCAAGGAGAGCACTTTTTTGCTGAGGTTAGAAAGGAAAATTGGCTCTCTGGTCAAGAGGTGCCCTGTCCTCATTTCCATTGCCTGTGGAGCTTGTCCCAAGGCAGAGACAGCAGCTGCTGCCAGGAAAGAGGATCCCAGCCTCTGTCCACAATGTCAAAAGCAGTTGAAGGATGTAATCTACAGGAGGGGAATTCTGAGCTCCATTCAGGGCCACAGACAGCAGAAGTGTTCACTCATGAAATATCTTGATTTATTTATACAACAGAGTATCTCCAGGACTGGTGGACAGTGATCACCCCTGAGGTGGGAGACAGCCCTGGTGCACCACTGAGCTGCTTTCTAAAGTAATTCAGGAAGCAAAAAGATGCTGAGGTTCACTTGTGACTAGTTTTAACCAAATATTTTAGAAGTTCTAAGAAAAAAAAAAATCTGCCTGATAGTAATTTTCCTACTTTTTTGAGGCCAAGCTGCTCAGGACCTGGTGATATAATTATTGGCATTTTGGTGGTCTGTGTGCATGGCAGGGAGGCAGGGGGACCTTGGGGCTGCCCTTCATCTGTTGGCTGTGCCACTGCCTCCACACGAGGTCAGCAAAGCTATTGCAAGCCTAATATTTCAGGGATTCTTCTGGACTACAGTTAGTGTCTCCCTGATTCAATGTCCCATTGTAGTTCAGCAGAGAATAACACAATTATTTGGATCAGTTTGGAAAGTCACCCTTTGAATTGTCAGGCTAGAAGAATAGGCTGAAGGCAAATGTTCCTGACTTGGAGGTATTGGGGGTATTGTACCAGGGAATGAGGCCACAGTACCTCCGTGCCATTAGTGTCCATTTTCAGGATGATTTGTAACTAACAATGGCTTATTGTACTTTTCTTGGGTCTGTGTCCTAAAGCAAACGTTCTTTTGGTTTATATAACCTTTTTGCCATTTTCTGCTCAGGTGTTTTTGCAGAACATGCTGTTTTACTCTTGTTTAAGTGTTACTTGGTTATCCTCAGGGATAAGACCTGAATAATGTTTTTTTCTTGTGGACTTTGGCAGCCTTTCACTTGGACTGTGCTCTGACTGCTGGTTTTTGCAAGCCTTTGCAGTAAAGCTGTCAGGAGCCAACTCGATGGCACTATCTTGGCACAGCCAAAGCCTCCTCTGTGGATCTCATTGTCTGGTGACACCAAAGGCAAACAAGGATTCAAGGAGGCACAAAGTTGAGATCCAGTCAGAGCCATCCAAGGCAGCAGCCAAAGGGGTTAGAGGACAGAGGTTTCCATGCAGGATTCACCAGTAGGTTTCTTGTAAAAGTACATAATGGAATAAATCACTAAAACTGGGCCAGGAAATGGGAAAAGACTGATATTGGAATTTAAATATCTCCCGGGCTCAGGGGGTGTTTTATGAAGTAATATAGCTATAAAAATAGGGCAGGGTGGTTTTCTGTGCCTTGGAGTTCTTTTTCAGCTGTTCCACAGTTACTTACTGAATGTGTGTTACTTAGATGATTTCTTTCTGCTTTGTATTGGAAATGGCCTCAAGTTGCATCAGGGGAGCTTTAGATCAGATGTTAGGAAAAAATTTATTCATGGAAAGGGTTGTCAAGCACTGGAAGAGGCAGCTCAGGGAGTGGTTGAGTCACTGACCCTAGAGAGATTTAAAATATGTATAGATGTGATGCTTCAGGACATGGTTCAGTGGTGGCCTTGGCAATGGTAATGTTTGGACTTGATGATCTTAAGGGTCTTTTCCAACCTACACAATTCTATGATGAGGAGGCAACGATCAGGCAAGGACAAGGACATTCAAGTGGGAACATTGAATTTTTATGACTTAGCAGAGAGGTAGAACAATACCAGGCTTCAAATGCCACTGAGACTTGAGAGGTGGTTTCAAGGCACAGCAGACGGAGCTGGGTGTTTGCTTGGGCACAGGCAGAGGGATGGCTGAAGAGATGGATGGGTGGATGGATGCTACTGTGGTGGGAAACAGCAAGAGGTGACAGAATAGTTAAAGATGGAAGGGACCACTGGAGGGCATCTGGTCCATCCTCCCCAGCTGAGAAGTCCCCAGTCACCTTAGGAGCTCAGTGCTTGCCAAGCTGCAAACAGCAGCCGTCTCTGTGTGGGTGACAGATGCTTTAGTGCTGCTCAGCCTGCTGCTCCATCCCTGCTCAGGTGTATGATGCTGCAGAGCCCTGGGGCTTTCTTACTCACCTTGAGCTGCCTGAGCAGCTTCAAAATAGTCAGGTTTGTCCCAAAAACCATTCCACAGTCATGCTGGGAAAGCTTGGTTTTTAACCTGGAAAGAGGCGCTGAAAGGATCAGATGCAAACATGGACTTAGCCCTGCGTTGGTGAACTCTTATTTTTGCACTCTTGCTGTGAACAGAAGTGGCCTTATATCCTCAGTCAAGGATGAAGTGAAGGAAAAAAACGACTTTGCAGTGCCTGCTATGGCTGCAGCATGAGGCATCTCAAATGTAGTGCTGAACTGCAGCTGGTGCCACTCCAGACACCGCCTGGCAGCCGCAGCCCTCGGCTCTGGGAGCAGGGATGGAGCTGCCAAGGCTGGACCAACTTTGACGTGTTTCACACTGATGACGATCCAGCCTCAGGATTTGTGACCTGTAAATGTACCAGGACATATCACAGAGGCAATGTTTTAAAAATATAAATGTCCTCTCTCTTTCCTTGTTTGTCTGACTTATCTTTATAGCGTTATCAATGTTTTCTGAGTCTACAGTCATTTTTCTTGCAACACAAAGAGGGGGAAGAATGAAGCGAATAATTTAAATTTTGATTGATAAGTGGAATGTAGAAAACAATACTTAGTCTTTTCATATTGAGCTGGGATTTTTTTAAACCTTTTATCAGCACTCACACATCTGCAGCTTGAAAAAAAAAAAAACCCACAACTTTTCCTTGAGCGTGGCTGTACCTAGACTTCATTCAAACCCGTTATCTAAAAATCTGTGCCTTTCAAAATTATGTCTGCTGATAATTTGCCTTGGTTTAGCTATTTTTTCATATGCTGCATTTGTTAGTGAGGCATGTGGATGGGCTCAGACACTCTGTCACTCTCTTGAGGGATGTTAGAGAGTGACAAGGCTCATCCCACTGATTTTTAAATATTCATTTCAGAAGAATATTTAAATTATTTTTAAAGCATTTTTATAACCATATGTTCCTCAAAAAAAAATAAAAAAAGAAACCCAGAAATAATTATTCAAACTCATTGTATCAATTGCATCATCCTATTTAACTGAGGATTGGCAAGGAAAATGGTTTGAGAACTTAAAAAATTTCCTTGGACCTCTGTGTTTAAAGAAATATATAGCCCTGGTATTTCATCCATCAATATGTTCACACTCAGACATGTTCATTCTCTTGTTGTAATTTAATGTTTGATACAGTTTTATTTGATTCTTTGCCATGCCCTGGGCTCTGCTTGTGTGCTCTCCGCGGATCAGCGAGTAAAGAGGCAGAAAGCAGAGAGCAGCAGTGGAAGGAGCTGTCTCCAGCTGGCAGACATCCACACAGCCCAGGAGGGGTTTCCAGATTTTCACCAGCTGAGGTGAGGCCCCATGATTTTAAACATAACATGAAACTGCAAAGAATGGGTGCTCATCCAGCGTGCTGCTTCCTGCCTGTTTTTCATGCATAGAAGTAAAACATTAATTTTGTTCAAGCCCCCTGAAGGACGAGGAATGTTTGGATGCGTTGCTTTGAGCTCTTTCTCGCCGTTCCCTTTAAAGCTGGGCTGCAGCCCGTGCCCCAGGGCCATTGCTGAGGATGGTCAGGGCCCCCTGACCAAGTGCTGGAGCAGATCTGTGGCACAGATGGTTCCACTTACACCAGTGAATGTGGGATCTGTGCCTATAAAGTGTCATTCCGATGGAAAGAACATGCTTTCTGAGTGACAGTTCCCTAGCCCCTGGCCTCTCCCTGTGCTTTTCCAATTTATCCTCCTTTTCTCCCTCTCCACTTGCTGTTTGTGCTTGGGGGTAAATCACGACGATTAAGCAGAGAAAACAAAATAGCTGAAGAAAGTATCCGGAGTGGAAATTCAAATGATGCAGCACATTCAGATGGCAGAGGTTTGTTGACTGATAGGTTTATAATAGTCAGAGACAGTAAAACCACTTCATTGTTGGTGGTTAACTCAGATGAACTCTCCTTCACTTGCAGCACTTGAGAGTTTTATGTACATTCCCAGCACTCGCATCCCTTTGGGAAAATGGTTATAGTGAGTCTCTAATGGCAGACTTTCCCTTCCTCAGAGAATGTGGGGCACTCAGGGCCTGGGGAGCAGCAGCCATCCCAGTGACTAAGAAGGAAGGCAAATGAAGAAGCAGCCTGAGCTCCCATTGCTCTCTGTGGCAGCATCCCAAACAGAGTCAGCCGGATGCTGAGCAGGCAGCGCAGGATTGGATGTAAGTGATGCATATACCTTCTGTTGACATTTTATTTGGCAGTGATTTAACACAAGCTTTCTAATATTGCTATTCTCCACAGGCTGCCTTCCAAAGTAGGAAGGGAAGGATGGCAAAATGATGCAAAATATGAGACAAGTAGGAGAAATATTTCTTTGCTATGGATGCATTCACAAACAACCTCCACTGACAGCAGCAGGGAAGTGCAGAATAACCCGTTTCAAGACCAGAAAAGAAGGCACACAAAGCCTTTGCAGAGATCAGTGCATTCAGTTCTCCTGAGATAAGAATGTTTTGTCAGATTGCAAATGGGGCAGTGCCCAAACCAGGGGAGGTAGGGGCCCGATGATCAAGTATGATAGAGCACTTGTCATGCATATATAACTTACTAAGCAAATACCTGGGTTACTTTGCTACAGCAATAGTTCAGAGAGGGTAGAATTCCTGCTGTCTACCTCAGTTTTACTGTAAAATGGTAAAATCCTGTAATTTGGTATCACGTTCCTTTCTGTCAGCAGCAACTGTGCTTCACCCATATCCAGATGCAAAGAATCAGCCAGTGGTCTCATTAAAGCTCAGCTCTGCAGAATAAATTAAATTGTTTCCCTTTCTTTTGATGTTAATAATGAAGATGTGTTCAGTAGTTATGATGCTAATAGTCCTTCAGCTATAGAAATCCTTTCCATCGAGTTCAGCCTCTCCCAGCCAAGTGTTCAAGCTATAGCACCATGATATATCCTGCCTCTCACCCTCTCCTCCCTGCTGTTCACACCAGGAAGAGCAGTGAATTTTCATTCTTAGCCTATTGCACCTCTCTCTTGTTGCTGCTTTACTTACAAGATTGTTCTTAAAAACCAAAGCCTCATTCATCCCATATCCCAGGGGTTCCTGGTTTTATTCCCATACAGGAAAGCAAGCACCTTGACTTGTCTTTCCCAAACATTGTTCTTTGTATGCACTTTTGCTGGTTTGTTGGTTGATGAGGTGAGACCTGGGAGCATGTTTTTATTTGGTGCTCTGCTTGCTTCTGTTCTGCATCACCTCATCCTGTGGTTTCACATGGAAAAGAAGATTTGCATGGGGATGTTTTTCTTGGGGCAGGGTGATGCCTGCAGGTAACAGTGGCACTCCTGGTTGCTTCCTCCCATATGGGATTTGTGCAGGGGGACATGCCCTTGGAATGTTTCTCTAACTTAACCCCCCTTTAGAACAATTCCTCTGCTACATGTCACTGTCTGTGTATAAACTTCTTCACCCCTGGTTTCCCCAAGCTGGGCAGAGCCTCAGCTCACCCTGTTCTGAGCTCGCATGGAGCAAATCCCAGACCTGGACCCAAAGGGCTGTGGAGTTACAGGCATGGATGATTGCAGATCTGGTGATGGCCCAAAAGCTCAGAGTCCAAGGTTTTTGGCCCTTTACCCAGGGAGATTCTCCCTTGGTCACCTCCTGCTCCTTGTAGAGCTTAGAAGAGTCACTCCTTCTGGACTCTGACCAAGAGCATGAAAGGAAACTGTAACTCACTGCCAGACCTGCCCAAATCCCCAAATTGTATATTACTTACCAGGAGAAGGAGATGTAAACATTGAAGGTTAATTACCCTCTTGTCAAGAACACTTTGTGATCTATAGACATATCCGTCAATCTTACAAAACAGAGCTGAGGGGAGTGAGCACTGAAGGCATGGCCCCATGATAAATTAATGAGACTTGGCAGCTCACTGAGAAGAGATGATCCCTGTGCTTCATGTGAGACAATAACCTGGCTCCCCAGCCAGCCTGGCCACAGATTTTGTGCTGCAGTCACATCCGGGATGGTTATCCCTCTGTAAACAAACTCTGCAATGCAGCTGTCCAGGGATCAAACCATCTTCCTTGAGGCCTTCACTTTCCTCTCTGCTGCTCAATGTGCAGCAAGTGCTCATCCCAACCACACTAGATCACTTTTCCCAGCCCTGCCTGTCAGTCAGTTAAAATACCTTACTTCTGCCTCCCAGCCTTTCTTGGCGGTGACGCTCCTGGGTGGGTCAGGGATTTCAGTCTGAAATCTGAGGGACACGGCCACATTTCCCCTGCTGTGTGCTATTCTGGTGATGTGTGTGCTGCTGCATGGCTGGTAGCTTGAAAATGTGTTCAACTATTCCCCTGGTTTATATAACCTCAAAGCAATTTGCTTTCATAGCTGAACATGCTTATTCGTTCTATTTTAACTGTGCATTGAGCTATAAATAATGCCTCATTGCAGATAAGAATCTATTGAATTTTATTATTATTTTTTCCTACCTGTGGGAGATTTTCTCCTGAAGGAGACTTTCCCAGCCCTAGCAGTGAAGTTGCCTGATTTGGTTTGTCCTGCCATGAATGGTGTCAGTCCCAGGTCAGCTGGCACTTCCCTGCAGCCATCTCCTCGTTGTTCCTGCTTGGGCTGTGGCAAAGATGAGACGAGTGCTCAGTGATGCAGAGCTGAGATCACTGAAGTCTTAGGGAAACTGATTAAACCAATGATTTCCTGTTCCTCTGATCAGCTGCAGGTTAATACCTCTGTGTTACCTCCAGCCCACCTTCCCTGCAGTGCGTTCACTTCAAAGAGCAATAACCAGGGTCAATGTCCAGCCAAATTGTGTTGGTTGCTGCCTCCTTTTTCTGATGTTCATTGTAGCATTTTTCTGCTTCCCCATGAGTAACTCCTGCCTTCTGCAAAGGAGCCCTGACCTGACATCCTCATCATTCAGAAACTTCTCAGAGCTGGAGCACAGCACGAGCTGAGGAGGCAAGGGAGATGGAGATGTGTCCTCAGAGCTGAGACCCATGTCTTGTCCAGGCTCCAGCACAGCAGGAAAGTGGATGATATTCTGGCAGCTGATTTTCTGTGGTGCAGATAACTTTTCTGGAAATTCAAATGCTGATGCTCCTCTAGAGAGGGGCTGTAGTTGCAAAGTGCTGGGCTCATGCGGAAGAGAGGAGACTTTGAAATCATTGAGAGACAATAATATCCTAAAATTTGAATGGTTTAAAATAATGTCCTAAAATTTGATGTGGTTTTGTTTCAGCAATGATTACAATCCACTCTTTCTGTTGTACATGTTACTGGTCACCCCCTGCAAAAACATTCTGGGAGCTCTTTGTAGAGCTTACCTGTGACCCTTTAGTAAAGGCTGTGGGAAAATTCTGAGAAGATTCTCCTGGGTCATAGAGAAATAGTATGTTTTTTTTTTTTTATTAATAACTACTATGTGTAAGAGAGAGAATTATATAAGTACAATATAAATAAAATAATTCAAGTTGTAAGAACTCTCCAGAGGTCTCTGGCTCAAACCCGGATCAAAGCAAGGCTAAAGTCAAAAGCAGGTCAGGGTACCCAAGGCCTTTCTTTCTCAGTGGGGTTCTCAGCAGCACTGAGGAAGGACATGCATGGCCTCTCTGCTTTCTGTGCTTGATCATCCTCATGACAAGGAATAATTCCTCACATTCATTCAGAATTTAATCCTTTTGCCATACAGCTTAGAGAAGACTGGCACTGCCTTATCTCTAACCCCACAGGGAGCTGCGGACAGCAATGTGGTCCCAGTAGCCATTTACTCTCCAGGATGAAGAGGCCCAGCTCCTCCAGCTTTCCTGGAATGCCCTGTGCCCCTGTCCCTGGGCAACCTGCCTGCATCTGCTGGACTCATTCCCACATGTCAACATTTGCCCTTGTTGTGGGGCCAACTACATATAATTCATTGCATCAGTAATGTGAAACCATGTTAGCCTTCAGCTGCAGGGTACAAAGTTCTGCACATGGTCTTATTGGTTCAGGAAAACATCCACCAGCACTACCTGGATCAAGTTCTATTTAATAAGTTCACAAGCACATGGATATGTTTTGATAGTGAGATGTTTTAATCATATCAGTGACTTTGTTTGCTTTATTGCTCAGTTCAAACGAGCCCTTCGAGCACCGGGTAAGAGGCAGAGCTGCCATTTGTGCTGGGTTGGTTTCTCCAGGCATGTGGCTCAGTGCAAATAGTAATTGGCCACACTGGCCAAAAGAAAGCCAGAGATGAAAACTGCAGCCTGAATTGTATTAACCAGGCATTTTGCAGTAATTAGAGGCATTTTCATGAAAGAGCTACAACTAATCAGTATTTCCCACTTTTACAGCAGTTATTTGTTAATTAAATAATGTGGCAAACCCCAGTAGTGTTTAGAAAAGTGTATTAAATGATTTTCTATTAATTTATCAATGTGTGATTTATGCTCAGAGTTTGCATATCTGCTAAGAAAATTCTCCAACCTCAGTTTTGATTCTTTCAGAGAATATGAAATCGATACTGAAAAAAAACTGTAATGGGAAATGTAAAGCAAGAAATTACATGAGTAAGTCAGAGGGGATGTTCTATAATGGCCAAATCCTGCCCTGGTGTGAGCACACAGACCTTATGGTGCTCGGGACCATAACAGGCAGCACCCTGAGGTGTGGCACTGCCTTTGCTTACCTGCAGATTACAGAATCATAGAAATATTTGGGTTGGAAGAGACCGTAAAGATCATTTTGTTCCAACCCCTCTGCCGTAGGCAGGGACCCCTTCCACTGTCCCAGGCTGCTGCAATCCCCATCCAGCCTGGCCTTGGACACTTCCAGGGATGGGGCAGCCACAGCTTCTCTGGGCACCCTGTGCCAGGGCCTCCCACTAAAGAATTTCTCCTTAATCTAAACCTACTCTCTTTCTGCTTAAAGCCTTTTCATTCCCCCTTCTCCTATCACTCCATGCTCTTGTCCAAAGTCCATCTCCAGCTCTCTTGTAGGATCTCTGCCCTCGTGCTGGCTGCTGCACACAGAGGATTTTTCTTTAGCCAAATGGTCATTAGCCATATGCTGCATCTGACTTTAAGGATTAGAAGACCATAATGAAGGGGATTACAGCAGATCAGTGGCAGGATTGCAGACCAAATCCTCTTTCTAACTGTTCTTCCAGTAGTAGCAAAGGACTGAGAGACCTGTCCTGCATCATGAGTTTAGCCAGCTGTGGGATTTTTCCACACTTTTATCAGAGGTGGGATAATCTGGAGCTGTAACCCAGGGTGGGGAGGCTGTGGATGCTGAATGGCTGCAGGCTGTGCAAGTGTCTGAAACCTGGGGATTGCTGGGTGTCACTTTTGTGGCTTGCCTAGGGAGTACCTGAGTGGCCCAGGTGTTCCCCAGTCAACATTTAATTGTTGCAGATTTGAGTCTCCCTGGAGTGTCTGTAGGTGAGAGAGAAGGAAAGGATCTGCTGCACATCAGACAGGCATTGTGGTAGTCAGAGAAAATCTGAGTTGCCTGGGGCCAGGGCAAGATCTAGTGCTGTAGAAACCAGCAGCTGAAGTGGAAAATTTTTCTCTGGTGTAACATGTGCCAGACTTTGGCAGGAAGGTGCTCTCCACTCATCAGGAGAGGCTGGTCTTGCCCAAAGGACAGCACTGTCCAGGGCAGGGAGCAGCATGCAGGCACCAGGCAGGAGGAAACCTGTCAAAAGCTGCAAGGCTGGGGCTGTGAAGGCTGGTGAGGATTGTTTGGAGACGTCTTGGCTGGAGGAGGCAGTGGCAAAGTCCATGTTTAACCCAGAAAGATGCAGCCCCCTCCAACTCTGCAAAGCCTGCACAGGTGAAAGCAGCAACTGTGACATGTAAGGAGCAGCTTCAGTAACTCCTGCACATACTCAGGGAAAAGTGTTTGGCTTCCAGAGATGCTGTTCACAAGACACATCAGGGCAATATATCCTGAAGATGTGCCAAATCTGTCTGAAATATTCATGCATGCTCCCTGTAATTTATAGAAACAATCACAGCAGCATAATTATTTCGATGCTTCTCCCTGTGAAGAATCTCATCTCTTGGAGGTAAAAATGTGACCTGCATATCCACACAGCCATGCTGTGGCCTCCTGGACATGCCAGGAGAGGTGATTCCATGCACTGTACAATATATCTATTTAAAGATCAAAATATACCCTTTAGACTACCGTGGTGGATCAGACAACACCACATTTGCTTGTGGTGAATTTCAATGATTTCAGATTAATTTCATTTGTCTAATGAGCAGTGCCTTGTTCCTTAAAGGCAGCACCTGTAAAGCATTTTTTGCTCTGCACCTCCCATGGTTCTGAAGTCTACCCTGAACACAATGCTTAGGTCCCATGACCCCCCAGAAAAACCCAAGTATCCTTGCCAGTTTGAACCTGTGAATAGGATGAGGAGCAGGTTACAGGCAGAGCCCACTCCTGCAAAATTACAGCTACTGAAACAGCAGAGGTGCAGACCTGCTCCTAGGCAGGAGCAATTTGGAGATGACACAAAGGCTGGTGGTGCAAGACAGACAGGGAAATGGGGACAGATTCTATATTTTAAGTATCATTTTCTAAAATATCTGCAAGAAGAAAGGACCTACTGTACTTTCAGGCATAGCTAGTGCAATGTAAATAGGTTCCCAAACCTTCAGCCTCTTTTGTTCTTCAGATGGCTTGGCGGAACATTCTGAATCCGTGTGTTTAACTGGGACTGGGTCTGTAAATAAGTGCTCCCTGTTGCTAAGGTTCAAGTGACATTTTTAGTGGCATTTGACAGATTTTTAACTTGCTTTCAAGTCTTCTCCTGAGCACTTCTGTACCCAGGCAGTGAAACTGTCAAGAAGCCTTGGCTTTACTCAAACTGGTGCTAAATACCTTTGGACTCTCAGGTTAGGCAGTCCTGCCAGACTTGCCTGACAAAGCTTAGCTGATGCTGCTGATGGCAAAGCCACACCTGACCTGTGTTTGTACCTAGAGGTGATTATCTGGGAATCTGGGGAGAAAAACCCAGAACCAGAAAGGAAAGCAGAGACTCAGCCTGGTCTGCAGACAGGGTGATACTGCATCCTTCCTAAGCTGCTCCCTGGTGGGAGATGTTGCTCTGCAAGAGACAAATTAGGGCCCTGCTCTTTACTCCCCTCAATATTTTGTGCTACTTACATTTCCACTAGAGGTTTCTTTTATCCAAAAGGCTGTTTGCTTGCTTCTGACCACTCAGAACTTGTGATGCTTGTCTTGATCTATTAACCAGGTGTCCAGCCAAAATCAATTGCCTAGCAGACACAGACCATTACCAGAAAAGTCAAGACCTCCATAAATATTACCGGCCTCATTGTGCTGGTGACAGATTCTGCAGGTTGTTTTATGTTACAGTTGAACAGTTTAGACATTGCATTTGTATATATTTGCAGCCAGCCCTGGAGGGAGCATCTCGTGAGCAGAGTGGGAGCAGGCAGCCTGCAGACTCCAGACACCTCCACCATGACCACGGCAGGGCTTTTGGTGCTCCTCTCCTTCGCGCTTTGCTGTGCCCCAGGTGAGTGACCCCCGGCTGTGTGAGCCCTGGCTGTCTTTAAAAGGGTAAGACAGAGGATTCAAAGGGAGAAAAATCTCCTTCAGAGGGCTCTGCTACCTCGGTTGGCATCGTGCAGGTTGCAGGAGTATTTCAGGGCAGTCCTCAATGGCTGCTGTAGCTGATTGTCATAAATACAAGTAACAGCAAGTGGAGCTCTGTGCTGGCAACTCGTGCTCTTACACTTTGTACACTGATGTTCTCACACCATTACCCTGCTTAGACTTCTACAATTACAGCAAATGGATGAATACTTGAAATAAGGCCATAAGAAGGGGGTCAGACCTCCAGTAACTAGTAAGGAAAATATTGTAATGGCACAAGCAACTTCTGTGCAAGACCCTGGCAAGTTTCCTGCAATGCTCTTTCTGCTAATGGAACAACAAGAGATGACAACAAGCCAGACTCTGATGTTCTCACTGCATATTCACAACCGATGAAATTACAAAGCCAAAGACTTTTTTTTTCACACTGGCCTTCTTTCAAATGCATATTTCTGACAACAGATGCTGTATGTATTTGCTTATCCTGTAGGTGACTATTTGCATTTGTCGGTGTTGATTCAGGTGTATTTTCAGATATGTAACAGCAGCGCTTTAGGGTCAAAACGGATATGTAAAAAGATAAGGAAGGAAAAGCTCTTCTGTTTTCAATTAATAAGTCTACATATCTCAGAAAAAAAAAAAAGAACAAAACTATTCAAAAAGGTGTTTCATCACAGCCAGCAGTAAGCAATGCTATTATACTTATCAACATAGAGAAGGAAAATCATACATAGTTTATTTAGTTAAAAAAACAATCAGTGGAAATCATTCAGCTTGGTTCTGCACACAGGAATTTTATATCCATATTTCCAGCTTTAATTGAGGTCTTATCATATTGGCTTTGGTTTATACTTTCTGCCTCTCTTTTCTTTTCCAGATACTGCCTTTGGGATTGAGGTAAGTGGAAGATTTCTTTCTGTCACTTTTCTCAAGTATGTGGCCTGGTAAAGACATAACCAAAGGAATAGGAAAAACCTCCAGCCTGTAGGTGCTCAGCTGTTTTTCACCTAGTTGTGACACTTGGGTCATTGTAATCAGATTCTACAGTGTAAAACATTAAATTATGCTGCCCTTGGCTGTACATCTATGCTGTATGTTAATAATGTTTTAGTAGTAATGATACAAAGTTTTTGGATTAATTATTTTTTCAGCAACTTTAGACTGGTCTAAGCTTTAAGATGGAAATAAAGAGCTGGTTCTAAACTGAAGCAATAGATTGGTATCAGAGCCTACCTGAGGGCAACCTGCTGAGAGACTAAAATACTCTGAGCTGGTCCAGCTTCCTCACAGGTCATTAGTCTTGGTCCTCTGAAAAACACATGATCAGTGTATTAAGAAAGAAAAAGTAGAAACAGAAGTGCAGTGGAGGGACCACAAGAATAGAAGAACGAGGGACCAATGGAGAGCCTTTATAAAATCATCTCAAGTGAGCATGAGGGAGCACCATTGGTTTATCCTGTCCAAGGGGCTGCATGGTTATAGCTCTTCCCTCCTCCTCTTCTGCTGCTCTGTGGGGACATCTCTGCAGGAAGGATTCACCAGTGAATGGATGCTGTGATGGACCCACAGAAGTTTGTGCTGTGACAGTGAGAACTGGTCGTACCCGGTCAGTGTCCCACACAAAACGAGAGTTGTGGGTATTCTCAGCCTGCTGCTGTGATTGCTCTGGCAGGTGGACTGCAGTACATACCCCAACACCACAAACGAGGAGGGCAAGGAGGTGCCGGTCTGCAGCGACGCCGTCAGCCCCATCTGCGGTTCCGACAGCGTCACCTACAGCCACGAGTGCCTGCTCTGTGCCTACAACGTGTATGTACTGCTGGGGACAGCGTGGGGACAGCGTGGGGACAGCCTGGGGACAGCCTGGGGACCTCAGGCAGCACAGCTCGCAGCTCCTGGCAGCACCACTGCTCAACAGCCAGTGCTTCGTCACACGTCACCTGTGTCAATTCCTTCAAAATGAGCTTGGGTATCACAGCACAGCGCTCAGGCAGAGCTTTAGTCACCGTGTCTTTCTTTTGCTTTTGTAATTTATTCAGGTTTTTTCCTCTCTGTCTCAAGGAGCAGCCAGGTGACGGCTCTAAGAGCACATCTCATCACAGCAAAAGGATGCTCTGCTCAGAGCTGCCCAAAATGGTCCTAAAGCTTCCCAGGGTTTTACATCCCTGCCAGCTATTCAGCTGGTTAGGCAGGGTGGAATTACCTTCTCAAATATAGATATAAAAAAGCCTGACTGAGAAAGAATCAGTTTTCCCTTGTATTAATTCTAGAACCTAGGAAGTAGCAAGATACCTCCCCTGAACTTCCTAACATTTATCTTTCCCTCTGCAGAGAATATGGAACCAATGTCAGCAAAGACCACGATGGAGAATGCAAGGAAGATGCTCCTGTAAGTAAAACCAGGGGCAGAACAAGGGGTGTGTCCTGCTTCTGAGTGGCCAAAAGTGCTTATTGAAATAATTCAAACCCTAAACAAGAGTACAGATGAGCTGTCAGAATCTTGCACCGGTCACCTCCAAGTGAACTGTCATCACGGTGACTCCCACAAAAGCTGTTCTCCCGCTGTGGTGCTGTCCTGTGTGGCCAGGCAGACACACTCAGCAGATCTGCTTGTGTGCTGTAAGCAAGGCCTTCAGCAGGGTTGGTTTGTTCCCTCACCAGGTGGATTGCAGCAGGTACCCCAACACAACCAGTGAGGAGGGCAAAGTGGCGCTGCTGTGTAGCAAAGACGTCAGTCCCGTCTGTGGGACCGACTGGGTCACCTACGACAACGAGTGCCTGCTCTGTGCCCGCAGCCTGTGAGTACTGAGCACAGGGGCCAGGTGTGAGTGCTCCTGGAACTGCTACCAAGGCCTTTTCTGTGAGGTGCTTGGGCTTTGACCCTCCTCTTTTCCTCCTGACTAAACCTTCTCTTCCTCCTGACTAAACCTTTTCCTCTGTGATTAGAAGGAAGGCTGTGCCCTTGGTCTAGACAGAGAAGAAGAGGGCTGGGTGGGGTTCTCACACAGGACAGGATGCTTCCCTTAACTAAGTTAAAAGGGTCTGTGTGGCAGATGCTGCCTTGCAGAGGACAGCAGCTAACCTAGGGGGCACTGACATTGTCACACAGCCTGTCTCCTCAGCCACCCTCACACCTTGCTGTAACCCAGCTCTCTGGCAGGCACCACCCGAGCTGGTCCCTGGAGCCACATGGACACAACCTCAGCTGGATGTCTCCTGTATCCCATCCTGTGCCTGAGGCTGCTCAGCATTCCTGGGTGATGGGGCTCAGCAGAACAGGTTGCTTGTAGAGCTCTCTAATGCAGGTCTCTTCCCTTCCCAGAGAGGCTGGAAGCAGTATTGGCAAGAAGAATGACGGCGAATGTAAGAAGGAAATTGTCACAGTAAGTGAATTGGGTGATCAGGGGCTGGGTTTTGGGTCTGCTGCTGCACTGCCAGTGTCTGCATCAGCCCCCAGACCAGCAGAGTCCTGCAGAAGTGAAACAGCTGCTGTGCTGCGGAATGGGAGAAGTTTTGCTTTCTCTACACGTAATAAATGTCATTCATGTGAATGCCAGGAAAGGAGCAGGTGACTGCTTGGGAAGGAATGAGTAAAAGAGTAGTAGAAATAATCCACCAGGCCAGAACTGTGAATAAGAACAGAGAATAGCTTTTGGGGTCAGACCAATGGTCCATCTTGCTCATGGTGACTTGGTGCAGAGCCTGCTGCTGGCAGGAGCTGTGAGCAGTGTTTAGGACAGAGTGAGAGTACAGAATGTAGAGAGGAGTGACTTCTGCCCTTCCAACCTCCAGCTGTTTTCAGGTGGAGAACCTCAGCTAGATGTGATTTCTGTGCAGTCAGCAAGCCTTGACAGGTTTCTGCTCCTCCTCAGCCTCCTCCTGCACCCAGACACATTCTTAACCCTACAACACTCCTCAGCAAGTGCAGCACCCATTGCTCCAGGAAACAGAATCCCACTTTGCAGTATCCAGCTACGTGCTGATCTTCCAGTTTAACGACTCCAGGAGGGATAATGGACCTTTATGGAGGATCAGCACTCCATTTCTCCAGACACCAGTGTTTTTCCATTTAATTTCCTGGCCAGCTTGGGAACACAGAGCACGGCACCTTCACCGAGTGAGCTGCTGCTGCTTGGAAAAGCCATGACCAGGTTATGATATACATCTCTTCAAACAGGAAATTATGATCTATTTTTATATTAATAAATTCTCCTGACATAGGAGAAACTGACACCTCAGTTTATATCAGATGTGCAAGGAAGTTAATTACTTTCGGTAAGATTGGTATCGTTAGCTCTGCAGCTCTAGCTCAGGGTCCTTGTGCTAGTGACTCCTTTACATCAGACTCTTTAATTTTTATTTATTTTTTTGCAGGTTGACTGCAGGGAATACCCCAAACCTGTCTGCTCACTTGACTACATGCCTGTCTGTGGCTCTGACAACACAACATACAACAATAAGTGTAACTTCTGCAACGCAGTCGTGTACGTACAAACATGAGGGACATTTGTGTTATCAGTTGCCTCCTGTGGGCACAAGTTTGCACAGTTACTGCTTTTATGTTTGCTGGGGACTGTTGATTAGGGATTTGGGGCAAGAGGGAATGCCAGCCACCGTGTCAAGCATTCATTTACTTTTTTCATTAGAGCATAAAAAAAGCTGTGGCTGCTTTGTTAGTGTGAATGGTTCGAAGACCATTTAACTTTAATGGAATTTTTCTTGCATGTTGCAAAGGAAATGAAATTCCTTTCCTTTTGAAATTCCACTGTAGTTTCCCCACAGATATTTTCAGTCTTAAAAATGGGTTAAATTGTTTCACTCATCTCTTAATAATCAAATAGCAAATGGGATTATGAGTCTGCAAGCTCCTTGGCTCTGGGGCAGGATCCTGTTTGACACCATCTCTAGGAGCCATCAGAAAGACAGATTATAGCAGGCAGGGCTCTGTGTTTAATTCATTCTTTCCTCTCCTTGCTTTCAGGGACAGCAATGGGACTATCACTTTAAGCCATTTTGGAAAATGCTGAGTATCAGTGCCGAGAGAATTCACCACAGGATCCCCCACTGGCAAATCCCAGCTGAAGATCTCACCTCAGTTCATCTCACCCTCTGGGGAACTCAGCTCACTCCTGATTTTCTTCCTCAATAAACTAAATCAGCAACATTTCCCTGTCTCCTTTCATCTGTTGTCTCAGGAAACATTTTCTTGATTTGTTGAATGATGATACCAGGCAGAATAGGTTACGTGCTCAAAGCTCTGGGATAGAACAAGAGCAATGTCTTGCTCCCCTCCCTCTCATAAAAGGCAGAAAATTAAATACAGATGCTCAAACCCCAGAGCTGTGTGTCTTGGCACATAAATGACAGTGCCACTGCATGAGTGACCCTTCAGATGTTTGACACTGCAAAGGGCTGCACTGGTGGCACAGGAGGGTCCTTCCTGAGGTATTCCTGGTGCATTTTCCTTGTCAGCAAAACTCGGTCACACCTTGGTGTCACTGCCCAGGGCTCATCCCTGGCTCTGCCCTCACCTGAAGTGTTGCTCTCTCAAGGGCACTCTGCTGGCAAAGCCCACATTTCTCAGGCATGTGCATTGTTCCTGTCTATTTGTCTAAGTCCTCCAACTGACTTATTACCAGATTTTTCTCATCTTGGAGTTGTCCTTTTCATCCCTTCGACTGTTCTAAGATGAATGCCTTCCTAGGTGTGGTGCCTACTCCTGCCTACTTGTCTTCTCTCAGTCTTCAATTACACAATGCTCTTTTCCAGCCCAAGGAGTATTTCACCAGTGTTTCAAAATCCAAGGACAAAGTATCCTTCTGTTTCTTGAGAGTGTGACCTGTCATTGGCGTATTGTGCATGAAATTTATTTTGCTTTTGTCTTCTGTTTGAGTATTGAATTGGGTTGGGTTTTTTTTATTTTCGATCCACACAAGAGAGGCATAAATAAATTGGGTTTATCCCTTCTAAAATGTAATATCTCCCACATGCATTTCTTCAGGGAATTAAAGGGAGAGTCTTCAGGGAATTAAAGGGAGAGGGGAGCTTGTTCTCCTTGATGGAGGTTGTCCCAGAAAGCAATGCTCTGCTGGTAAAACAAAGGATTTATATAGAGATGGGCAGATGGATGAAGCAGTGATTTCCAGATTGGGCTCAGCTTTTCTAGGATCCACGCTAGGATCTCAAATCATTCTGTCATCTTCATACTAAAAGTCTATTACTGCAAAGCTAATGGCTTTTAGGGGAAATAACAATTGTAAATTTATTTTTTTTTTCATAATCCCATAAAAGTTTCTCCATCCCTTGTCATTTCCCAGGACTTCTTTCAATGTCTGGGACACCCTCTTGCTTGCTTTCCTGGTTCACTGTTTTCCTGCTTTCACTATAACTTAGTGATGTTTTACTTGGGTGAAGCACAAAAATAAAAGGAGAGCCTTTCTGCTGTGGAAGCATTTAATTCAATGTTTTTCTTATGAAAAAGCACCAAAAAAAGGGCACTGATAGGTGAACACAGAGAAAATCTGTCAGCAGTTTGTACAGTCGCTCTTTTGCCTGCAGGAGTTTTCTGTGGTCCTTCAGAAGGAACCTGTCACATATTTCACTTAAAGTAACGATTCAGAGGGTGTATCTCACACCTCTAAACTTCTCGTGACTCCCGTTGATGAAGAAACATCAATTCTTGGCTTACAGCACGGTTTACCTCTGTGGAGATTGCCACTGAGACAAAAGGCTGGAAATGTTGCTGCAGGATAAGGGTGGATAAGGCAAATATGAACGTGCACAAACACACACACCCCCCCCAGTGCTGCAGGCGTACATATAAGCGTGGTTGCCACCTGAGGACAGAATCCAGGCTGTGTTTCCTGAGCAAAAGCCAAGCTCTGCTGCTCACAGCTCATCCAGCCACCATGAAGACCACAGGGCTGCTGCTGCTGCTCTCTCTGGCCCTGTTCTGCATCTCAGGTGAGTGGCTCCACTGCCTCCTGCTCTGCCTTGGAGTAAGCGTTGGTTGTCTTCAAAACCACAAAAAAACATCCTCAGACTGGAAAGAGCTCCATTCTGCAAGGACTTATTTACTCCTAGAAAGATAGTGTTGAAAAGACTTGACATCAGAGACTATCACTTATGGGGTAATATTTTAGCAACAGAACTGAGTGGGTAAGAACAACTGTGGGAACAGCTCTACTCTCAGTGCTAGTTTATGCATAATGAAAGAAGTGACATGTACGTGGTGCAACCCGGAGACTCAGACAACCAGTATTTAACCTCTGAAATGTTGCAGGAACACAAATAATTTTACTGAATGAAAGTGAACATTTCCTGCAGTCATCCTGAACTGAGGTGCAGCTTGAGAGCCTGAACTGCTCTAGAAGCTTTATAAATTCACCTCTCACAAAATGCTATTCTTATTTAAGAATAAGCCTCTGTGTACTTGTCAGCTTTATGTCCCTGTTTACCTCAATAATTTGCTTTGCTTTGAATTCATGTCCTGCTCCATCCTTTGAAGCATGGAAAATGTCTTTCTCTTCTTTTATTTTACATGCCTTTTTCCATTTTGACTGTAACCTTCATTAAAAAAAATGCTACAGAATCAACATACAGTATGGCACGACATTTTGCCTGAAATTCCTTTTGTCTAAGAATAATTTGCTATCACAGGGGGAGTTGGAAGATATGTATTCAGGGTGTGCATTCTCAGATTTTAACAGAATCCATGAATTGCATTTGTAACATATTTCATTTTTTCCTTTTTTTTTTCTTTTTTTTTAGTTCCAGCTACTGATGCGCTGCAGGTAAGGGATGGATTTTTCTATTCTCCATCTTTTCTTTCCTTAAAGCAGTTTCTGTATAAATCTTTACTAATCACATCATGATGGAGCCTTTCAAAATCCTGAGACACCCAGCTGCCTGAGCAATCTTTGCCACAGATATTATCGGGTGAAATTGCCATTTTCATCCGGTGACGGTTTCAACAAGTAGGGCAGAATTCAGTTCATGTCCAAGTTGTTGTCAAAAGTTACTGCAGCATCATTTACAGTGGTTACACAGGCTCTGCATGGCTGGAGGCAGCACTCCACTGCATCCTGCCCTGTCCCTGGGCTTTTCCTCAGCTTCTGCTCCTGGGCAGTAAGGGAGCAGCTCAAGGGCTCTGTGGGTGCTCCTAATATCACTTTTCTCACACAGATTTGGTTGAGAGCTATTTTTTAATTTTTTTTTTTTTTTTTTGGAATACAGGCTGCATCCATCTACTGCAGGAACCAGAGGACTCTGAGGAATATGTGTTCCATGGAGTATATGCCCCACTGCGGCTCTGATGGTGTCACGTACCCCAACAAATGCATGTTCTGCAATGCATACCTGTACGTACAGAACAAATCTCTTCACCTACTAAGTGGTGAATTAACTTAAACTGCCTAATCAGTCATGGAGACTGGCTGGAAAAGTAAAGTCCTTTTGTTTGTTTGTTCTCTCACCAGCAAGGCTAATTTCTTTTTTTTTTATTGGGGGGGTTTGCTGGGAACTCCTTTCTTTCAGATACAAAGAGAACATAGTGTTCTCCATTTTCCTCTTAAGTGATTTGCAAAAGAGCTTTATCTCAGCAAATTAAGCCTGTTTCCTACATACTATTTGGTTTTTTAAATTAAGAATTTTTCTTGTCTTTATATGCCAATAACAAAAGAAAATATGTGTAATAGAGCTCAGAAGTCCCTCTGTGGTGTAGAGGGACAGACCAGCAGTGAAAGCCCGGATGTTCTGAGGTACTGATTTCTTTCTCTGCAGGAGAAGCCGTGGAGATCTTGGTTTGAGATCTCTTAATGCCTGTTAAGTTCTCAACGGGATTCAACTGAGAAAGCTGGTGATGTTCCCCATGGCAGATGACTTCCTAAACCCTTGACCCGACCCTTGAAAACCTCTTATCAATCCTGAAACCCCTGCTAATAAAAAAAAAAAGACCACGCATTTATGCCTTGTTTTTGTCTCATTCTGGTTTTACCTAAAATGTTGCATGGTTATAGCACAGCAACAGCCCTGGGGTGTGGGAGTTAATGGGCAAATTTCAGGGAGAGGGAGAACGGTGTTCTGACCTACAAAAATATCAACCCCAACCCCAAAGGCAATGGGCAGCTTTCGTGGGCATCCACCTCCATCTGGCTTTCCAAAAGAAAACCAGGAGATGCATCCTGGTGCTCCTGTCCATTTGCTACTCTGAGGGGATGTCAGACAATGACTCTGCCTGGGTGAGAGGAGCTGCCTCCCTCCCTGTGCTGCTGGCAGACACCTGCAGCCTCACCCAGCCTCGCTCTTTGGAGCCTGGCAGAGCAAAGGGGTGCCGGGCAAACCTAAATTAACATAATTAGAGACAGCCCCATGATCGCTGTAATTGCGGTGTTCTGGCACTGTTCTGCCACACAGAAGGGGTCTTGCTGGCACAATGAGCTGCTCATCCCTGTTTCAGTTCCCAGGGTTATCCCTGATTTCTTACACTACTAGAGAATATGTGGAGAAGGTCACATTCCGAGCTGCCTCCACCTCGCATGCAGGGTTGAAAAAACCAGCTCTAGGTGAGAGAAGGCCTTCTGCAATCTGCTTAGCTCCCCAGAGCAATGTCAGGGTGTTTTCTCTGGGCAGGCAGATCCCTGTGTGCCCACGTTGGTTCATTGCTGAGGGGCATTGCAGAAAAGCAGTGCTAACAGAGCTGATGTCCGGGGGATGCTGGCAGTCGCCGCAGCCCGGCTGGGCACCTCACCCATCACTTAGCTCCTGGTTGAAGGTAATTACGTTGACTGTCGCTTGTAGAGGATCCTTTGAGATTCTCCGGCCTCTGGAAATCTCGGCTGATGAAAGGAAGGGCTCGGAGTCATAGTGTTAATTTATTATTCATTAAGAGCGAGGCGCTGCCAGTGCCGCGTGCTGTAGAGGCAGCAGTCTCACAGTCAAATAGTTAATGATCTTAAGTGACAATGTGTCACTTCCCAGAGACTGCAGAGAGCAGCTCTCTAAAAGGAGACAATTTATTTCCAAAAGACATGACTCTCTGCAACCATTTAGTGCCAAGTCCCTTCCTGGGGCTGGCACGTCCCTCCTGTGAGAGGGAGGTCTGTGTGCGGGAAAGCTTTTCAGAGTCAGATGCAATTTCTGGGGACCAGGATAAATTGAGGCTCTGGGAGGTAATGCTGGGGGTGTGGGGCACATTGTATTCTTCTTCTCCCCCTCTGCTGAGCGTGGGAGTCAGGGTAAGAGAGCAGCAGCTCCAGGAGTTATTTTATTTCTTAGGCAGCAGCAGAGAGGATGAGGACAGCCTGCAGGAGCCACGATGCCTTGGAGATGAGCAGAGCTCCCGATCGTGCTGGAGATCCCCGTGATGCTCAGAGGGCCTCTTGCAGGGGCATGCCTGCTAAACAGGAAAATCCAGCAGGCAATTAAGGGGAAACTGTGAGCAGAAATGATAAATCCTCAGTGATACAGAGTGAGGATTGCTCAGGAGTGACCGAGGGCAGAGCAGGACCCCAGCGGAACCCCTGGCCTCCCACCCCAGCAGCTCATCCTGGATGCTCCTTAGGATGGAGAGGAAGAGAATTCTCTTTTATGAGCACCTCGTTGGAAATAGTTTTTTTTATTGCTTCTCAATAAAATCCTGCCACAACAGCACAAATCCTCTCACCATTACTAATCTAACTCTCCCTCCAGGAAATTCAAGGCAGGAAACATTGTCTGCCTGCCAAGGTATTTTATGGTACAATTCTTTGAGCAGTACCTCAGCACTTTATGTCATTATCTGATGTTTTGGATTCAGGAAATGCCATTCAATTACCCCACAACCTGATTAACACATTGCATGTACTTATTTTGTTCTATTTTATTTTGTATTGTTCCTTCTATTTTTGTGCATTGTTCTACTTGTTGCTGGCCAAAATATACCTCAGGCCAGTCTAGACCTTTTTGTTAATGCAGTTTCTCTCTATGGCTTCATTCAAGAGAAATGGTTTGTTACCGCATCCTTTTTTGATGTGAAGCAAAATAAAATTATATTCGAAAATTCATTTAATTGAAGGTGTTTTTGGGGCTGGCTGTGTCAGAGCTATTGCAGTGAGGCAGAGCTGAGATTCACTGAGGGATTGGGATCCTCAGCCTTGTGCTGTTAGCATGCAGCTTCCAGACAGTCAGATTATTCCAGACACCCTTGCCTGCGATATCATCTATGCTTAAAAGACTGGAGATATTCAGGCAGCAATCAGATAGCTGAACTACAAGGAGAAATAATAGGTGAGTGCGGCTTAGAGCAGGGGCTTTGCCGGCTGTAAATTGAATTTTTGTTCTCATAGAAGATCCAGCTCTGCCCCCGTGTGCAGAGGTCTGGGAACAGCAGCTTGGCCAGGAGCTCCTGCAGTTGTTCCTCATCCCTGGGGAACTGCAGAGAAATAACCCCTTTGTCCTCCAAAATCCCGTGACAGCAGGGACAATGACAGTGCTGCTGGCACGACAACATATCCTACGTGCACGCATCCACCCTCTTATTTAATAATAATAAAAAAATCCTCCGTTGCTGCTCTTTGTAGCCAGATGAAGCCTATGGCAAGTTTTGCATCAGTGAAGGATTTTTTTAGGTTGTGGTAGGCTATGGACTTGAGGTAGGAAGCCTCAGGAGCAGAGGAAAAGCTTCCCAGGAAATTATCACTGCTATGGGAAAAAATACTGCTGGATTAGAAACTGGGTAGAATTTCCAGAGTTATTGGAAATTTACTTTAATACTAGAGGACCCGTTGTTTGATGGCCAACATTTATCCCATTCATGTGGCCAAAACCTTCCTGAATGTTTGCCCTCTAGAAGTCTGAAATAGAAGGAAGCATTTCATTTAAGAGTTTTATTTAAGCTTTTATACGGATCTTGTGTCTGTATAAATATTAAAATAATCCCAAAGTCACTTTACTGAGCCCTCCATCATGATGTTTCTGAATCTCAGAATCACAGGATAACTTGGGTTGGAAGTGATCTCTGGAGATCACCCAGTCCAAACCCCCTGCCACAGCAGGGACACCTGGAGCAGGTGACACAGGAACATGGCCAAGTGGGTTTGGAATGACCCCAGACAGGAACACTCCACAACCGCCCTGGGCAGCTGTTCCAGTGCTCTGCAACTCTCAATGGAAAGAAGTTTCTCCTCATGCTGAGGTGGAACTTGCTGTGTTTTAGTTTATGGCCACTGCTTGTTGTCCTGTCGCTGGGCACCACAGAGAAGTCTGACACCACCACACACATCCCAGAGGGCTTTGGGCAGCTGGCTTCACTTTGCTCTCCCATTTGCAACAGGTGTATGACATTTCCCAAGGCTCACTGGCATAGGAACTGTTGTTTTTCACTGCTCCTAATGCCTGTTTTCAGTCCATCTGCTTTCCTGTGATTGCTGCTGCCCCATTCCCTCTGTTTCCTATTAATGGGGCTCCTTGTGCAATCCCCTGTCACACCTGCCCCAGCAGCTCTCCTGCCCTGCCCCGGGTACTGCCCTTTGTCTCCCATCCCTTCTCCCAGACCCCCTAGCAAGGCTCTTTCCTCATCTCTCTTTTCCCCCCTGCTGCCCTGGGAAGTGGCAGGGGCTGCTGGAGGAGAAGAGCTGCTTTTGGAGCAATCCTGGGTGGCCACAAAGACCCTCAGGGGCATCAGGTGGGGCAGAGAGGATCTCCCAGCGGATCTAACTAATGAAAGGGCAGGTGTTGGCCCAACATGAGAGCGATGCCGCTCCCTGGCAGACACCTGCCAGGCACAACAGCTCCTGCTGCCTTCAGCCTGGCAGCAAACACAACAGGAGAAGCAGCAGAGTTTCTGCTAATGGGGATCTCATTTCTGGAGGTGGCTATGGGGGAGTTTGGGTTGCAGGGCTGAAGAGGAGATGGACTCTGCTCCTGGAGCCCCCCCAGCCACAGGGCTGGAAAGCAGCACCTCCACCAGTGGCTGCTGCAAGTTCTGAGGAAGCTTTGTTTTCAGACTTTGGCATTCCTGCCCCTGGAGATTAATCAATATTAATGCTTCCGTGACTACCGCTTCCTTTCCAAATATGCTCACAATCACTTCAAGGAATCTGAAAGTCAACTCACTCAGGATGCTAAGAATGCGACAGAAACAACTTTCAAAGGAGCCCTTCAACTTGTGATATTTGTGAAAGAGATCCAAATAGCATTATTCATTTATTTTTCAGGAAAATTATTTCATTGATATAAACAGGCCAAATCCCACAAGCTCCATTCTGTGACTACAGTTCTCTTACACTTTCAGCTACATTTTAATGATTTATCTTCTCATGCCAAGTGTTGAACATCTCCCAGGATAATAAGAAAACCAATTCTGATTTTCTATTTAAAACTCAGGCTGCCTTTAAGCCACATGTACGAAACAAGCTTCTTCTGAAGCACAAACAAGTTCCATCCGTCACTTCCTTCCGTGACTACCTTAAATCAAAAATTTATTATTTTATGCAATATCCCTTATTTGTTTTTCCATACACTTGTGATAGAGTCGAGCCACTTAGCAGAGCCTAGCACATTATTTATCACTTATCTTCCCTAAAACACGACTTTCAGCTGACAGTCTAAATTTAATGCCATATAATTGAGGGAGAAGGGGGAAGCCTAACGGCTCTCCTTCTGTTTGCAGTTACTGGAATTTTTTCTGGAATGCCTTTGGTATTAACAAGTCCATTTCACCTGCACAGAATACCAGTTGCTTGCCATTAATAGGAACCATTATCCCAGTACAGATTTAGGGCTACTTATTCTTATAATTTCTTAATCAGACTCATACTCCTTGCCAACAGATGAATAACTCTTACTCCTACACAGAAATGTCTAATAAACTTCTGGGGTTTTTTTGTAATGATTTTCTCTTGTGATGACTTTCTGTCGGTGAGAAATCCAGTGTACCAGGAAATTACAGGAGAGACTGTGGGGAGATTCACTGAGGCTTCAGCATCTTTAAAGTGCATTAAAGTGATGCTTGCCAGACCCCAGATATCATGTCAGTGAGAGCATAGGATGTCCCATGCTCCTGTCACCACACTCAGCTGTACCACAAACATCTCCCAGAGCCCAGTTCCTGTCTAGCATATGTGATACGGTGAGCACAAGTCAAACACTTCCAACAAATGGGCTCTTTTTTCCCTTCCCCAACTTCCATATGCCATTTCACAACATCCACTATTGAGACAGTGCTCCTGTTTGGAAAGTACAAATCACTCATTGTACAGCAAGGCGCCTTTGTTAACAAGCTGGGTGTAGCTCATATTTTTGTTTAATTCTTCTGGGCATCTCTCTAACAAACAAGTATTCTTTGGAGCTCAACTCGGTAATCAATACAATTTTCTTAGTTTACAGAGCAAATAATTACTTTCTGCTGACGACTTCACAAGGTCGGGGAGATGCATATATATACTGGGGAGGGAGAAGGCTGAGAACCATCCACAGACTCTCCGGCAGCCGACCCACACGGAACAGCCGCTACCACCAGCACCACCAACATGAAGATGGCCAACTGCGCTGCCCTGCTGGGGCTGGTCCTTCTCGGCTGCCTTTCTGGTAAGTTGTTTTTGTCACTTTTGTTACTCTCTGTGCTGGTCTAGACCTCCTGATCCTTTCCCTGTCTCTGTGCATCCTGGAGGGGAGCGCAGCCTCCTGGGGATGCCATGGTTTAGGAATACGCGGCCTCTCTTTTCAACGATCTTCACCCTTGTGAAGATAAACACTGGGGATCTGTGCTTTAAGCTTTTGAGCCTTAGTGGGGATTATGGTGCTAAAGAAGGATAAAACTTTAGGTCCTAATTCTTGTTTAGCGAGTCAAAATTCCTGGTTTAGCAAATAAGTGATTTTTTTTTGTTTTTAATCTCGGTGTATCACTTTGCATTTACTTGGAGTAGACGAAACATTTGGGAGGATAGTCACTTCTCGGTAATGAGAAGGTGTATTTGGTTACTCTGTAGGGAAACTGATGATTCCAAGGGAATTTTATGAAGGACATTGTACAATTTTTACATTTTATAACTTCTGTTTTTATTGTAGATCTTGCTGTTGCTCAAAGACGGGTGAGTATTAGATCTTTGTCATTTACTCTTGATTTCTAAGACTAGATGAATAATTCATACTCACACTATATGCCAGGGAACGCTTGAGGGAAAAAAAAAAGAGAAAATGAATAAGAAAGAAGTGCCCCTAAGTGCACCTCTTTTCCCAACATAAGAAAACACCTTTGTCAGAGAGAGATAATTTAGCACGTTGATGATTGAAAAGACAGCGATTAATAATGTAGAATGCGAGTCAGCACAGCACAGAGTGCTAGCAGAAAATCTATATGACTATTGAATATCTGCCTAAATATCCTCCCTATCCTGATTCCCCAAGGAATGATCATTTTTGCCCATAATTCTTGCCAAAATTTAAGTCTTAACAGCAGAGAGGTGCTTTCATAAGCTGCAAGACACTCGATACTTTTTTTTCCCACCATGGAAGAGCCATAGAGATTTCTCATAGAATAGCCTCCCAATGCAGCAAAAACAGGATTAGGGGAAGAACACCCTTCTTTCTGTTTGGAGACATTGTGAGTCCCCTTTCCCAGGCCTCCTGCGGCGCCTACATGTTGTCTGGAAAAACCATGAGCAGCATCTGTCCCCGCAACTACGACCCCGTGTGTGGCACCAATGGCCGCACCTACCCCAACGAGTGTGCCCTCTGCAAGGACTTCCTGTGAGTAGAAAGTCCCCTGGTCACCAAGAGTGCCAGCTCAAGCAGCAGGCAGAAACCCTTGGGGTTGTGACTAATCGTGGGGTGGACTCGATTTTTCTTAAGTTTCGGTCTTCCCTAATGCCCGGGATCTTCCATGTCAAAGCTCCAGAATCTGATTAATTACTGGGGCTTTACGGGTGGAGAGACTTAATGATTGAGATGACTACCTGGCATGAAAAGATTAATCCCTGCTTTCCTTCTCCCTCTCTCCCTCTAGCCGCAACCCTGCTCTTGACAAGAAACACGATGGAAGATGCGTTCGGGTACGGTCAGAGATTTGTTCCTTCCCCTGGTGGGTGATAGCCAGACACAAACCCAGCCTAGGATTCGTTCTGTATTTTTGTAATTTTTTGTGTGAACCCACACAATTGCTAGCTCTCAGAAATGGGGTGAAAGCGAAGAATTTCAGATCTGCAGGAAATTTAATTTGCATTTTGTTTGAACTGCTAAAATCAGTGAGTTTTAAAAGGCAAAATATCTTCTGTATAACAGCAGAGTTTAGAAAGGAAACTTTTGATTTCAAGAGTGTTTCTCTCAATGTTAGGAAAACACTTCTCTTTACATTTGGACTTAGAGGCTTGTTGTGTCTAAGAAATTCCCAGAAGAAGTTTGGATTTCAACTAAACTATAATTTTGTAACACAAAAAATGGATTCTATCAGAATGTTTATCACAAAGTTAAGTTACAGTTAATATCAATATATGGAGCTACCATAAAGTGGCAAAGAATATCTATTTTTAGTTTAGAGAGAGAGAGAGTAAAGAAACATTCTGGCTGTGCAATTTCACATAATACAATGACTCCTATTTCAATACACTCAGAGTAATTGCAGGAGCAGTGAGTTGAGTGTAAATTCCATTTTTGAAAGGCACTGGCACCTCACAGCAGAAATTGCTGCTGTGTGAGGTATTTTAGGCAAGGATGCTTCACGGTGGCATTCAGGGGGAAAATCCCCAAGATGGCAGGGATGGAGCCCATCTCAGAACAGATACTGATGCTGTACCCACGGGCAGGATTTCATCTGTGCTCCCCCAAATCCACCACGCTGTGGCTGGAAGCCCCTTTCATCTTGCACCTTCTCTGGGAGGAGGAGGAAAAGTCCCTTGCACCACACTCCATTACACAGGGCTGATGCAAAGGGGAACAGAGATTCAAATGCTGCTCTGTGACGGTTTCAGGTCGACTGTACTGGTTTCCTGAAGCCTGGCAGTGGTTTCGACATTCCCTGCACCATGGAGTACAGCCCCATCTGCGGCACCAACGGCATCACCTACAGGAACAAGTGCCACTTCTGTAATGCTGTGGCGTAAGTGGGGGCCTGGGTCAGGGGAGGGCTCCTGGATCAGTACTGATCTATTTTTTTTGGCATTTGGAGCAAAAAGAGGTAGTTTGGCTCGCGAAGCAGCTGCACTGTGCTCATTCATTCTCCACTTGCTTTCCCCCCAAAGGAGCGGCCTGGAAGTGAACCTGAGGAACTATGGAGAGTGCTTCCATGTGCAGGTAAAGCCAGAAACCTGCATTCTTAACTGCTGTCACATTTTGCAGCACACATTCATGACTAAATAATAGAAATGCCTCCAATGTCCAGGTGCATTCGGCCTGAAAATAGGACTTGAGGAAAATAGTTATGTCAGAGTCAACAGGGATGGAACCAAATCCATGGCTGAGATACTTGGTCCCCTCTCTGACCTAGGAACAGCAGGCAGAGGGTGCTGAGACCTTCATTTACTGTGAAACTGGATGAGTAAGAGATGCTGCATCAACGATGCAGGAGCACTATTAGTAGCAGTGATTCCCTGTGTGGGAGAACTTGGTGCACTGGGGCTTGTGACCACTCCCTTTCTGTCCATTTGCCTTTTCTTGCCTGCTGAGCCAGAGCAGCCAGTGGGAGAGCCAGCCTGGAAACACCAGGATGGTCATTCACTATTTATAATAATATTTATTAGCTTTTTTTCACCTCCACCATCTCCCTACTTCAGGCTGTTCCAGGCAAACCCATTCTCTGAGTCTGCAGAATTGCTGGAACAACAGAGCCCTGCTCTTGAAAAGTGCTTTTGTGCTTTCCCATATTACAAATATTAAATAAACATAAAGCACTTACATAGGAAAATATAGGGAGCAAAAGCTTTAAACCCTGTTTCTGTTCCATTAGCAAAACATAAACATCGACTGCAACCAGCAGAAGGGCGGCAGCCTCATCTGCACCTCCGAGTACAACCCCATCTGTGGCTCCGACGGCAGAACCTACGGAAACAAGTGCAAGTTCTGCAACGCTGTTTCGTAAGTAGAGAGCTCACCGTGTGGCCAGGAAAGCAGAGGAGCTGGAGCTCACCTGCAGCTGAAGCCCCAGAGCTCCCGTTAGCTCCCATCCCTACCCCATGTTCCTCTCCCAACGCTCACTCCGCTGCCACCCCCCAGGCGCCACAGATCTTAAGCCTGAGTGAGTCTTCTCCTCCTCCCCTTGCAATTAAAAGCAGATCCCCGCTTGCAGGCTCATAGCATTGCTGACTGCCTCCCTGTCAGGGTGATTGAAAGTGTGTCCGTAGGAGGTGTCCAAAATTACGGGGTTTGTCCCAAATCTCTTCAACCTATGAAAGCGTGTAACTTGAGGAATCTGAAAAGAGGTGGAACATTAAGTGAAGTGCTTTATGACTTGGAGAGCACAAGGGCATTTGGCTTATTTGGGTAAGGTTGGGCTGTAAAAATGAGATCCATGTCTCTAATTTTGGTCTCCCTCTCTCTTCAGCCGCAGCACTGGAGCTCTGTTCTTCAGGCACCTTGGAGAGTGCTAAGTGCTGCAGCTGGACCCTTCAACATGACATTTCCCTCTCAAATTCTTCAATCAAACATGCTCTTCCTTGCTCCCTCAACTGTTATCCATCAGTTTCTGCTTTGACTGATCAATAAATTAAATGCAGCCACAATCTTTGCCATGGAATGGTTTTTGATTTTGGTTTTGTTTTCCAGGCAGGATAATGGTCTTCAGGCTTTTGGGTACTTTTCTGCCAGGCAGGAGAAGTGGTGAAATAAACCACAATAAAGAGCAAAACACCAGCTCAAGCCCTCACGAGAGAATGTCACTCTGTAGCAAACCACCAGAAAATGCTGTAAAGTAACACAGCTTTGAATCTAATTTTGAAGGCTTGCAGAGTGTAAATGGATTTGTCTTTGTCACAGCACTGGAACTTGGAGGAGCTCTTCCTTTTAGGGGTCTTGGCCAGGTGGGATGGTCCTGGTGAAAGGGGGCATGATCAGCTTTACCTGGTCACACCTAGGCAAGGGGCAGGTCTGGTGGTGCCTTATAAAAAGGAGGCTTGTGGCAAAGGGAGGAGGTATCTCATAGGGAAGAGAAAATTAGGAACTGCTGCTTCCTTGAAGGGTGTGTCCATTGAGACTGTGCCTATCAGCAGAAAATTGCAGCAAGCTATGCAAGGCTGTAATGAGCCTAATGAGAACCTGAAGAGAAATTAGACTGGGCTTAGGCTTTCAGCTTCTTGGAGAAGAGATCTGAAAGGCTGCACTGGTGGTATTTGAGCCAGAGGAACCTTCAGGAAAAGGTCTTGGGTTTTCTAAGTCTGTGAAAGAAGGGCCAGAAGATGTGCCGGAAGCTTGAATGTGTTTTCTATCTGGGGAAAAAAGGCGTGAAGATAACATCTTTGTGGGAGCCTGAAGCATGCACTGCAGGAAAAATGACATATATGACTGTATGTGATGATGTGCCATCTTTTTGGGTGAGTCAAGGAGTTAGTATGCAAACAGCACAAGCAAAAAAAGTCCCAAGTGCCATGGCTCACACACTCCCTTCCTCGTCCTTTCTCCACCTCCTATTCTCTTGTTATGTAAAAGAACACCTGCTGCTAAGGCTGATATTTAGGACAAAATCTGTGACATCTGTGACTTTCAAGATACTTCTTTTGGTCTTGTTTTCTGAAGCAGATAATTTCTTGACCAAGAAGTTTGTAGCAGAATGTAATAGGCTTGTCCTTCCCTAGAACCAGTACAGAGAGTAGGAAGAAGAATGAAAATTCTTATTTTTGTTTTTTTTTCTGGTATTACTACAGATAACATAAATCACATCATACCTTTGTCCCTTCTCCTAAGAAAAGACAAGTTGGAGAGTCACGAGAGTCCTCACTAGTCACCTGCTTGTGTGTCTGAGAAAATAGTTAAGGAGCAGTAAAAGTAGCCAGTGGATGTGTTTGGCTATAATTCCTGGTTGGACAAGAGGTTTACACAGTGGCCACAGACTAGTGGAGTTCTGGCCATAGCAGGAAATTGTCTTTGATGGCAAGGTTTTATGGTGAGCCTCCTCTTCAGAGGCCGTTTGTACCTGAGGAACAACAACAGAATGGCTAGGTTGGAAGAGACCTCCAAGATCATCAAGTCCAATGCCCTAATACCACAGCTAGACTATGGCACTGAGTTCCACATCCAGTCATTTTTTAAATACATCCAGGAAGTCAGGAAACCTGCTGTGAAGGCTTTGGAAAAGCCCAAAGAGAAGCTGCTCGCCTGCAGCAAAATGGGGGGCAAATGGTGAATATATGGCTGTGTCCAGCTGCCTCATAAGCCTCTAGCAAGGACTTCAGAGGATGGAAAGGTTTGTAGCATTTAAGTCTAAAAAGTGGCCTGCACAGGTTAGGACTCAGCTTGATACCAGCAAGGCTCTTCCCAGCCACCCCTTGGGCTGCACAACAAGGTCCAGGTGCCCTTCTCCTACCCCTGATAGTCAGAGGGACGGAATCCCCACCTTTGCCATGACTTGGTGTCACAAAGAAGTGGAAATGGGCAATAACAATAATCACCAGGTTGGTAATTTAGCCTTTTCCTCTGCTCAGCCTGGAAGGGGGTGGTCCCTGCCGTGTGTTTGCTGAGGCTGGAGCCAGCCCAGTTGCGCTGCAGCAGCCGAAACGTTTTTTTGGGCAGGTAAGGGACTGAGGTATCGAGGCTGTGGTCGCAAGCGGTGACGTCTGAAAGCAGAAAAGGCAAACAGGGAGTGCTGTGAGTGGCAGAACTGAGCGTGGCTGGCTGCAGCTGACGGGTTTGATAACTAAATTACATGAGAGGCTGCGTCGTGAGATCACCCTTAATAGACAGCTGAGGATTCGCCTGTCAGTCACAGTTTCTCTGCCACTCTCTGGATTTTAAGATGTCTGGCAAGCTGCAAACTGAAATGCTTCCCCAGATGTAGGACAACCCATAGCATTGCTCTCCTGCAGGAACTCTCTTGCTGGCTGGGGATGCTGGTAGCATCTTTCCTCTCTTGCTAGAGAAATGTATTAAAGTGTGATTTTTTTTTTTTTTTATTTTTTTTTTCACTCCAGTGTAAAATTTGGCTGTAACTAGTTGTGTATTCAAAATTCACTGGGGGAACTAAAACCCAGATATATCTACACACATTCCTCTCCTAAGCCTCGTCTCCTTATGAAAACATACTAAAATTTAGGCTTATTCTTATCTGGAGAGGTGTTTGGCAAATGGTCTGCCTGAACACAAATCCTTGCACAGCCTCAGCTGGAAATAGAGCTTGGATCTGCCAATTCCCCATCAAATTCCCATCACTGCCACTTGAGGTGGGAGCAGAGCCCTAACATATGTTTGTGAATGTGAAAAACTGGAAAAAAATTGACAGCTAGAGTTTAAATAGTTCAGGGAGGAGAGTCAGCAGTCCTATCTGGGACTGTGCACACAGCGAGGAGAGCATGTCACAGCCCAGCGCTTCTCCACCCCAACTCCACAAATTTAGAACCATCCTCAAAAATAGCCAGGGAACAAGGTATAATTGGTTTCACAGACAACACATTCTCATGCTGTGATTTATTTCGTAATGTCTAGTGAGTGTCATCACGCTGCACTCAGAGCCTCGGTGCTGGCATTCAGAGAGGGCCCAGAGAATGAAAATTACCAGCTTCCCCAGTGAATCACCGCTTTGAAAATTCACCCTTGTGAGAATCCTGTGACTATTTAGAAAAAAAAAAATAAAATAATTATGTTACAAGCACGTCTATCACTCATATAATTATCCCTTTCTAGGTTTGATGTGGACAGGACAGCATTCCTTAAAGCACCATAAACCGGCCAGGACCAATAATGGCTTTAGAAACCAAGTGGAGAAGTTCTCACAATTAAGGTGGGGAATGAGGACAGCTATGACAGGCACATAAATACACAGAAAGGCAGCTCTTGTGTGCACACTGTGAGCTCAGGGACTGAGACAACACCTCCTGCTCCGATCTGGCTTGGACTAAAGAGCTCCCTGCAGCATGAGGGCTACAGGTGCCTTAGTGCTTCTCAGCCTGCTGCTGCTCTCTTTCTTCTCGGGTAAGTGATCTTTCCCCTAGCCTAGAAACAAAAAACAAACACCAAAATCTCTCCTGACAACAAATTTTGGAGATTCTTGATCACCAGCTGACAGGCTTGAAGATGAAGCTGAGCAAGTAGAAAATATCTGCAGGATTTGCTCACTCATGTGACAAATTTCCACTCCTTGTGTGCCTCTGCAGTGGATAAAGTAGTGGAGGTGTCACTGGGAGACAGAGCGAGCAAATTCTGAGCATTTCTTCAGCAAATATACCAAAGCAGAGTGTAATTATGAATTTTTGGTACAAATGTTCACTGGAGAGTTTTGCTGAACCATTTAGAGAAGAAACTCGCTCACCTCCAGGTCATCTGCTCTTGTTTTGATCCTAAGCATCTTGGTATTTGGTGTTTTCCTTGGAGATGTGGAGACGTAATTAGATGAAAGTTTCAGCTTTCGTTGATGTTGCAGAGAAAAGCTTGAAAATTAAATTCAAATGTCCTCAAGGAGCCAGAACAAAGAGGGCAAATTAAAAGGATCCAGCAACTATTTATCTGGAGATTTACACATCTCTGTGATGATGTGGGGAAGCTGAGTGATGATTTTTGAACCATAAATCATGTCAGTGTTATCACTTGCTTGAGTCCAGCTGACCTAACTCTGCAAGGTGTGTGGCAACAGTTATTGAAGAATATGTGGAACAAGAATTATTTATACTTGTTTTTCTGTGAATAATTTGAATAAAGAAGTCACTTGAGAAAATGGCAAGCTGTGCATGGAGAAGAGGTGAATTGCTTTGTACACATTATTCATTATGAAATATTCATCTGTCTCTAATTGAGCCTTAATTGGGACTGGGTTCCATCAGAAGGCTGATGTTTCCTTCCAAGGCCAGGCAGAATAGCAGCAAACCCTGTGATCTCCTGTAAAATAAACAGATGTCAAGAGGCATCATCACAAATTCTTCTGTAGCTGCATGTAATATTTATAAAAACTATTTAATGAGCTGTTTTGTAAATAATATGCAGATAGCCCTATCAGTGCCTTCAGCATTAAGGCAGCCTAGCCAAACCTGAGCAGAGGATAAATGTGCCAGCACCAGGAAAAAAACACCGAAGGACAACAGAAACAGCAAAATAAGTAGGAAGGGTTGGTGGGTGAGGGTTGAGCTGACTGAGGGTTGGGTGGGATTTCCACTGGGGAGGGATGAGTGTAGGACTGGGTCCTTCCACCTCCTCTCCAGAGCCACAGCTGGCAGTGACCCTGCTGAGCAGCAGGTACAGCCTCACCAATGCTGGGCATTTGTCCCACTCTGCTGTGACCCAGATTCTGCAGATCTGCATTCAACCCACCCTGGAGTGGTTCCCCCTTAGGGACACGAGAGGGTCGCCCCGTTTCACAGCTCTGACTCAACCTGCACACCTGCCCGCCAGCTTTGCTGGGAGGAAACAGAAAGAGCATGGACTGATTAGCTCCATGCCCAGAGCCTGTGATACAGAGGGGATTTTTGTGCTGGCACTGCCTGTTCTGCTCTCTGTCACCCCATGACGTCTCCTTGTATCTCAGCTGGGCTGAGCCTGTCCTGGGAGGGTGCCTGGGCTGTGCTGAGCATGGCTTGAACCCAACCATGGGCCCTCCCTCTCCACGGTCCCCTCCTGCCAGCAGCACCAGCCAAGTGCTTTGTTCAGAGGTGCAGGAGCCTAAAAGCCTTAAAAACCAGCATGGGTTTAAAATCTCTGGGAGCACGGTTCCACATCCGATACGGCAGCTTGCTTCCCCGGGAGTGGCTGCCTTCCAGGAGATTGGGTTATGTGTCTGAGGTGTAGCTAGCAGCTGAATGAATGATTACATGGTATTTTACATAGCATTTTTCAAAATAGGAAAATACTGAGAAGCAATTCAGATAATGTATTTCCTTCCCCCTCTTCCCCCGTGAGTGATGACGGAGTAGGAAAAACCTGGAGTATGTTTCACTGCGGTTTGCATAAAAGGTTTGAGAATTCAGCTCAGACTTTATCAGAAAGTAATGCTGACACGTAAAATCTGTCTGGTTTTTATTTGTTTTTTATTTATTTTGTTTGTTTGCTTGTTTGTTTTTTCCTTTCAGTTCCAGATGTAGCAGGTCAAGAGATTGAAGAGGTTAGTGCTGCTGTTTCTGCTTGCTGAATCTGCATTTAATAGAACCATGGAATCATTACTGTTGGAAAAGACCTCCAAGATCATCGAATCCAACCTCTGACTGATCACCACTTTGTCAACTAAACCATAGCACTGAGTGCCACATCCAGTCATGGCGTTTCCCTTTGGAGGAATGTTTTTATAACCAAAATCTTGGTGCTGGGTAAACAGTTTTTAATGTCTGCTGGGAGCAGGTGGGTCCTTCCAAGGATTTCCAGTGCTGGGGAATTCACTGCTACCTGGGGGATGCTGTGTGGCCACGTGAGCAGGTAGAGCAGGGAAATAAATGGTCGATTTAGCAAATGTTTATGTGCTGCGCCACTTTTGACTTGGCTTCACTATCCAATCTTCTCATGAAGCAAATGGATTATTAAGTGTTGTAGTCGCCTGAATTTAGACCATCCCTGGGACTTGTAGAGAGACAAAATACCTGTACACTTCCAGTACATATTTTTTAATTGCTGGCATGATTTTTAATTCCTCAGGGAATTTCCCTATGGTTTTCCCCTCCTTCCCCTGGGAAAGCAGGAGCTCTGCAAGCACCAAACTGAGCGCAGGGTTTCGCAAGACACCTGAAGTCATGCGGCAGGGAGGTAGCTCGGCTCCGAGTACCTGACAGAGCATCAGTGCTGACTCTTCTCCTGCATGCCTAGGCTAATCCACTCCTGTTGTTGGGAGATCAAGACTTCTCCCAGGTGACTACAATTTCCCTCCTCAAAGATGGGGCCAAAATTCCCCTGAAATGCCGCTTCTGCTCATTTCTGAGAGGGCTTTTTCTGTCAGAAAATAGGCTGTGTCAGCACTTGTCAGAAAAAACATTACATGAATGACCTCGGGTCCAATTTAGAAAGTGAAACAAAGAGTGTGGGGGTCCTGAAGGGTTTTGTTTTTTGTTATTCCCTGTGCAGATTTGTAGAGAGTTCATAAACAGAAGTGTGTACTGCACGAGGGAGTCCAACCCTCACTGCGGCACGGATGGAGTCACGTATGGGAACAAGTGTGCCTTCTGCAAGGCAGTGCTGTAAGTGACACTGGGGGGGTGAAACAGCAGGGTTTGCCTTCATTTCCATGGATCTAATGATGTTCTTCATGAAGGGGAAGCTGTCTATCCAGGCTGCTCCTCGTGTATGGACCAGCCTCTGAACCGTGCCAAGCGGAATGTTTCCTCCTTGGAGCAGAGCTGTGTGACTATGAGTTAATTTTAATTCATTTCTGGGCGTTGCAGGCTGCTGGTTGCCATGCTGAAAGGCAGCTCAGGGCCTGGGAAGCAAGTGCATCCTGCCTGTACCTTCCACAAGCACTAAATTGATGCACAATTCCCACTGTGTGCCACAGGCTGCAGCTCTCACTGCCCACACTCCTGGGTACTGAGAAGTGCCTGGAGGAATGTGGGAGCTGAGCCATGCCAAGTTATTCCTGAAAAGTCTGAATGAACTTTGTGGAACAAGACACAAGATCTCAGAGGAAGAACAGGATGTCTCTCCTTTTCCTCAGCTCTGTCACCTTTTAAGGGAGATGCAATAGGAGCCATCCCTGATGGATGGAATGTGCTTGCAGAATGTTTTTGCCTTAGCAATCGTTACATTTAGTGTGCAGCCAGGGCTGCCTTGTCCTAGGGCAGGTGACAGAAGAGCGAGGAGAGGAGGAAATGGCCTGGTGTTCCCTGTGAGGTACCAGGGACATCCACTGCCATGAGTCAGGCCTGTTGGCATGGATGAGCCCTGTCCCACACTGCTGCATCTGTCATCTGCTGCTTGCTCTAAGTCTCTCTCCCTCCTTTTACAGGAGAAGTGGAGGGAAAATAAGGTTGAAGCACCTGGGGAAATGCTGAGTCCTCCCTGGACCGAGCCGCAGGAGCTGAGCTGCCATCGGTGCGGACACGGGATCAGCCTGTCCTCCTCTGCTGTCTCTGCTCAATAAAATAAAACTCAGCACGATTCCTTGGCCGGATTCTTTTTTTCCGTAAGACCCAGAAAAGCGCTTTGATCCAGCCGTGCTGGAGCCTGATGCGTGGCTTTGCTCTCCTGTGCTGTTGCATCACCCTCCTCCCGGGAATAGAGGCGATTCCCACGGCTCCCCTGTGTCCTCATGCCCCCACCAGCCACAGCTCCTCTGTCCCATCCTGCCTGGCACATTGGCACATGCTGGGCAGCCAAAACCTGCTCGTGGGCTCCTGCCCATCCCAGGGGGTGGGTGAGAGCAGGAGCCTCGGTTCCAGCCTCCAGAGCCGTGTTCCTTCTCGCAGGGGTTATTGTGGGAGGGTGATGGGAGAGCTGATGAGCAGCGTGACTGCATATGCCTCATCTCCTTTGGAAAGCAGAGACAAGCAAGCTGAGGGTAGGGAACATTGCTCCATTTAAGCCTGCACCCAGAAGATGGCAGGTGGAGGCTGGTTTTAGGCAGAAGCTGCAAGGCTCTTCTTCCCAAATCAGTATTTTTCCTTCTTTTCTCTTAGAGAACGCTTTGTCTTGAAAACTGTGAACTCACAAGCATTAGTTTCCTGCTGCCAAGTGGCTTCTCATGCTAATAAAATTATATTTAGAAGAGCGACAGATTGTATAAATTGTCAATAATTTAAAAAAAAATACATTCCCTGGAGCAGAAGAGCTGTGGGCTTACTCTCCCCTTCTCTAGGATAAATTCTCTCTGAATCATATGCAGACCTTGATTTTCTAGGCACACATGTTTGCATTTATTTACAATTTTTAATACACATAGGCTTCATTCCTTTCTTCGCTTTTCACACTGCTGCCCTCTCTCTTCTTCACTCTGGCTGACAAACCCTTCTTTGTGCAAACACAAGAAAAGTAATTTTACAGTCTCTCCCCTTTCACTGTGCAAAACTCTCACAGGGAAATATTTGTGGCATCCTCTTGTTAAAACTCTGGCAGTAGATCAATGGGACAGCAGCTCCTTCATGTTAAATACTTAACTTTCAAAGGGAGATTTACCATCAGCCTCAGGGGTCAACATCTTTTGCAAGCACCTAAATGCTGAGCACCTAAACCTCTGGACCTTGTTTGGACAGAGCTTGAGTGTTTGCCTCTCCCGCCACAATCCCAGCTTTGAACTCAACTAGGGCACAATGCCTAAAAAGAGAGGCCTCAGCAAGGTGCTCAGCACAACTAATACCAGCTACTCCTCTGGTAATCCACATAACCCAATTCTGGCAGATCCTTTGTCATTTGGTAACTTCCCAGGCAGCCAGCCAGTGGCTGAGCTGCCCAGACAGAGCTTTGTGCTGGAGCTGGTTTGGAGCTTCTCTCGGACCAGCCGCCTTTGATCCTGACGTTTTTCCCATCCCAGCAAGGGTTCTTGCAAAATCTGCCACCTCTTCTTTGAAGGAGACCAACCCTCTCTGTGGCTGTACAGCCTGGGCCCTTGCTCAGGTTTAAATTCAGATGTTACTGAACTTGACAGGACATCCAGAGCGTGGGCAGGGTTGAGGGGAGCAAGAGGCACAAGTGGTCATGAAGAACACATTGGGAAAATGCCTTTCCTTATCAAAACTCCAGCTTGGAGCAGGATGACCTCCACGACTCCTTCTACCCTAGTTAACCCTGTGATGATCCTGTGACGTTGTGTGGCACTGGACCAGCTCCATGTTCAAAGGACAGGAGCAAAAAGACCCCATTTTTAAGATGGAAAACGACATTTTAATGAGAGAAGGGCAATGGGGCATCTTTAAGCTTGACGTGCCCTCAGTGACTCCAAAATTGTCATAGCGTATTGCCATATCTAATCATTTAAATCTGGAGGCTGAGATAACAAGGACAGATCACAGGAGAACAGAAATTGCAGAGGTTCACTGTTTAATAACATGTACTTTGTTTTTTCAGAGAAAATAGCAAATAAAACACCTCCATATTTCACAGACTCAACTACCATCTCCTCCACCTGTGCCAGGGAAGAGGAGAGTGGGAGTAATCTGGTTTGAGGAATGGCTTCCCTCATTTTGGGACACTTCCCATAATGTTGTCCCCAGGAGAGGCCAAGAGAGGCAGTAAAAACCACTTCTGTTGTGATCCATCCTTCCAGCTGAACAGGCACATGGATCCAGTTAACTGGGATGCAAAGGATGCTTTGCTGGTGCCAGGTGTGCTCGCTCTTGGTTTTGGAAATCTGGATTCACCTTCCCAGTGGGGCTGATGGATCCCTGGGACAGGGCAGCAGTGGCCACAGGATGACCAACTTGAGCTCCCCTCTGTGTCTGGCTGCCTCCCCAGAAACACACCCCAAAACAGAAATCAAACCTTCAGCCACTGTTTCTCCTTGATTTTCTTCCTACACCTTTCAAGTTGTGTTTGGTTTGGGTTGTTCTGTGGAGTTGTTTTTTTGTTATTGTTTTTTTTTTTTTTTGACAGCTTTGAAAGGTGAGTCATGATACATTTGAGATCTCTCTCAGATAACATGAGCATCTTCACAGCTCTTTCTGTCCCTGGGGGAGAAGGGGCAGAGGCAGGGATGGGAGCCACCCCTTGCAGTGGAATGAGGGCCAGGTTCTCCCTGCATTTCACTCAGCAGTTAAAATACAATCAGAATGCAAACTGTGCATAGTCTCACTGCAAGGAAGCCACTGGTCCCAGCTGAGCACCCTCCTGTGCCCAGGCCATGCCCATGGCAAAGGGAAGGATGTTATTTCCCTCTCACAGCTTCACTCTGCTGGTGATGCAGCCCATCCTTTATGGTGTCCAGGCTCTTGGCCCATTTAACTTGTGAGCTCAACTGCTTCCTCCTCCTCCCCCAGCACAGGCACGTGTCACTGTCATAACTCAGTTGAATCCTTTGCCCTACTTTTTTCCCTTGACATTCACAGTGTTTGACAAGGCTTTTCAAGCTGCCATGGGATGATCCAAGGGTGGTGGTGCTGACTGAAGGGCTCCCACAACCCTGCTGGGGAGGAAGCTCCGGACTTGGTGATCATTCCGGTTCACCCTCTTTTCCCAAAGAGAAGCAGGCTGGATCAGCTTGGAAGGGACTTTGGTCCAACCCCTGCTCATGGCAGGGTTAGTGCTGAGATCTTATCAGCTTGCTTGGGGCTTTGCCCAATTTAGCACTGAGAGCCCACAAAGGTGGATGTGCAATCTCCTTGGGCTGTCTCTCACTATGGTAAAGAATTTTTTCCTTGTGTATCCAATTCCAACATATTTTTTTTTTTTCAACTGTCTCATCTCCAAACCATGTACCACCATGAAGAGTCTGAATGCACCTGCTCAGGAACCTGCTTTTTTACAGGTCTTTGCTGTTATATCCCCCTGAAATCTTCTCCCCAGGCTGTGACCCCACCTCCCTCTGCCTCCCCTCACCAAGCAAATGCTCCAGCCCCCAACCCTCTTGGTGGTTTTTCACTTCAGTTTTCCAATGCCTTTCTAATTTTGGGGCAGAGCCCAAAACTGAGTAGTGGAAAGGCTTCTGAACCATGGGGACAGGGAGAAGGATAGTTCAGGGGGCACGTGGGAGAGCTGTAGGAGTGTTTCAGGGCACTGAAAAGATGTAGATGGTGACATTTGCAGGGAGCAGCAGGAGGATGTCAGAGTGTATTGGGTTCTCTATGGATTAAAGAACAGCTGAACCTGCCCTGGGGTGAAAGGGCTGCCAGATGTTGGGAATCAGCCAACAGTTCCCTCCTCTCTATCACAGCTGAAGGGCTCAAATAGGAGCCCAGGGGAGGGATTTGTCTGTTTTCATGGACTACAGAGCAAAGAGAAGGAGTTTGCTTAGAGGTGTGACTGTTGGTGTTTGTTGTTTGGGAGCTGGTGGGGGTTTTGTGGGTAGGCTGTTTGTGTGTTTTTTCCCCTGAAATAAACAGTGTAGTTTAGGACCTTCTTACAGGAGCAGCTGAAGTAATTTTGTGCGGTGTAGGTGTCCTATAAAGCAGCTCTAAAAACACCGGGGAAGGCTTAGGAAATGTAGATGAGAAGGATTACCCCAACAGAGAAAGGAAGAATGGGGGAGGAATAAGATTTACCCCTATAGAAATGCAGGTGTCACAGGAAGAGCTGCTTGTCCCAAACCCTGAAATGAGGTGGTGCTTCAAGGCACCTCTTTGGCTTTGTCACTCATGAGCAATGAGGGACAATGGCTTCAAGAAGAAGGACAGGAATCTGGAGACAGCAGGGCTTTGGCAGAGCTTCCATCAGGAGTTGAAGGATAAAGTCAAAACGGAGCTTCTGCTGGGGCAGAGGGATGCCCTTCACCTTTTGAAGCTAAAATTGCTCGGTTAATTGTGAATGAACAGAAGTGTTGCTATCGTGGCAGGGTCCAGCTCTGACGCTTCTGGCCTTGCCAAGGAATGTTATGCCTTTTTTTGGCAGGGTGATTTTGGGGAGTCACCTCTGCCACCACTGCCTGGGAGCCGATATAAACACATCCTCCGTTTCTAGACATGCCCTACATCCTTTTGCACAGCTACACCAGGCCAGCGGGGGCTCGGATTTTGTGTGATTGTGGTGGTGACCCATAGGAAGGAGCCAGGAGAGGCTGCAGAAGGTCACCTGCAGCCTTCCCCAGCCCGCAGGATGCTCCGTTCCCGAGCATTGGGCTCCCTCTGGTGACAGCCGGGAGCTGGGAGCGAGCTCTGCTCCTGCTGGAGAGGCTCGTTTTGGGAAGGAACCCCAAAGCCCTCTACTCCTGCCCACCTTTGGGAGAAGGGCAGCTCTGAAAAATTGAGAAAAATGCAATTTTAGTGGTCCTGCTCGGGCAGGATCCATCACCTCCCATCAATAATCTCAGGCACTGGGTGCAGTCTCCTTCATGTAAGGGGTAAAAGGTGATGACTTTCTTGGCCTGAGAGTACTCAGTCCCCTCTCTTCCCACAGGGCATGGCTCACC